GTCTATTGCTGCGATCCTTTGTGCTGGTGATCCTGAGGTGAGCTGGAAATTGACTAAGGGGCATCAAGAGTATATGTGACACTTGGCATGAGCACTACAAGCTTTGGTTTCTTTTCATGCAGCTCTGGCATGGCTTGCAAGCTCCTCAGTGGTGATTCCGTACAGCCCCCATGAGCTGGTTTGCCTTTGCAGAGCCTCTCATGCAGCTGGGTATCCCAGTACAGCATGCTTGCAAGGCTTTTGGTACTGGGGCCTCTCTTGCTTATGTCCATCTTAAAGATAAATGACTGTATTAGGGTTCTACCAGCTCCAAGTGACCTGCAGGTGGGCCTGCATGGTCTCGAAATAATCTCAAAAGGCAGATGTGGATGTGGGGAGATAAGCCACATCTGAGGAACTGAGAGAGATCTCAGGTTTTATTTCCTAGTTTGGCAGGTGGTGGATAAAGTGGTTGGGATTCAGCAGGGAAAGGCATACTGCCAGACAGAACATTTCTAGCCTCTGGCTGAGGAAGCTCTGAGTGTCTCTGCAAAGGCAGCAGATAGAGAGAGCTGAACAGGAATAGGCTGAACAAGGGCCAGGAAGAAAAAGGATCATCTTGCAATGGCCCTGCAATGGTCTGATTCTGTCCTCGCAGGCTTTTGTGTACAGGATGTAGAGCACAGAGTGAAGGAAAAAAGCAGTGCTCAGTTTCAACAACTGTTCTGTACTTTTTGGCTCCTAGGTGGGTAGCCGAGGAAAGGGCATGCTCAAACCGCATACCAGCCTTGCTTGTCAGGGAAATTGGTGGGACCTATGGGAGCTGAGCTCTCGCCAGCATCTGGCTATGCATGTTGGTGAAGGCGGGTCTCTTCAGATCACCCAGCCCTCACCACCTGGACAAAGCTTCTGCAGGACAAACTATGCAGGAGGAAGGGGGTTACCTCATGTTTTACTACTTAGAGATGTGTTTTCCATAGAAACTGAGGCTCTCAGAACTGATGGTCTGACACAGTAATTCACTGATGTTTTGTGTTACCGAGTCAATTACATCTTAAAAGTTACACACTGCCGTAGCACAATGAGGTCCTGCTCAGGGACAATGTGACTTTGCTCAGCTCTGGCTAGAGGCAGAGCCCGAAGACAGGCTATGCCTGAAGAGATACGCTGGTTCTGACCAATGTCTTTGCTCAGTCTCAGCCTGTCACTTCACAGCTGGGTAGGAAAGTGGGTTTGTTTGATGCCGCTCTACCTTGGGAGCCAAGGCTGCTGCCAGATGCAGTTTTCCAGTGAGCTTTGTAGCACGGGATGTGTTTAAAGTTGCTTGGTTGTGGCGTGATTTTCCTGAAGGTCAGAGGTGCACATACACCTTTTCCTGGTGTTGCTGCTACCTGGAGACACAATGGTCCTGTTAGGTACCTGTCTGCCACAGCCACGTGCAGCTGAGACCTATGTCTGTGGGGAGGCTGTTCATTTCCTGCAGCGGGTGTCCTCTTCCACCTCCCTTCAGGACCCTCTAGTGACTCTCTGGGTAAGGCCACAGAGCCAGCATGCCAAATCCTTGAGCTGGGTGTGCAAGACATGGGAGAGCAGACTGGTACCATGGTATCATGTGCTAGAATGTGTGGGGTGAGACCCATAGGCAAAAGCGTCTGGAAGTTATCCTGATTGCTTTAAGTTGTCATGTGGGATAAATGGACCAGGAGACAACATAAATTCTTCTTCATAGCTGGAATGTGCATAGCTGCTGCTTCTTCCTCCCCATAGCTGGAATGTGCAAATTAAACCTGCACAAGTTCCATGTTGCATTTCTTCTGACACAAGCTGGAAGAGAACTGTGGAGTGGCTGCAGGAGGGAGACAGATTGGGCTGGAGGGAATTGGGGAACTGGAAGGCTTCCTGTTTTCTGCCTTGTACCCAGCTGGGGAGGTGGTGGTCTGTGCTGGAGATGACAGAGCAGCCATATAAAAAAAGAAAAGGTATTTCAGGTGAAATTCTTCCACCAGACAGCTTCATCCAGGCAGAAGGTGCCCATCAGGCTGCTCTGCTTGTGTGTTGCCATGGGTGGAGGTGCCCAAACCCTTTAGCAGCCACACTCAGAGCCCTACATTGCCTTGGAAATGGGCCAGCTGAACCTCTGCTGTTATACTGTGGGTGGGTAGCACATGGATGGTCCGTAACAGTGCTATAGATGCAGTCATTCTTCATAACCTTCCCCTGTTGTTTCTGCAATCCATCCTTCCAGCTCTCCTGGGTAGTCACTTCCCACTTGTCTCTGTGCTCCAAAAGCCTCACTCGGCACCTGGACAGCTCTGCACAGCCCTTTGCAATGGGAAATGAGACCAGCAAACACAGTATTCTTTCCTGGCCACATGAGTACTCAGACTTTTGGGTAACTCCGGTCTGCCCTCCAGATGGGGAGGCCAAGGGTGTAAGTCATCACAACTGGAATTGAAATCTGTGTTCTTTTCTGAGTGACAGCACTAAAAATACAAGCCTGGGCAATTCATGAAGAACTGGCAGGTCTTTCTATCTGTGTCTGCCCTGAGAGTGGGGAAACAACCTCAAGAGTAAGTGTAAACCCCAGAAATGTGATGCTGATGTGCTTTCCTTTCAACATTTGGTCTCTGAAAATAAATTCCAAGCAGTGACTTCATGTCCTCTTTGGAGAGGGTGCTAGTCAGGCTTTTTTGTTGTGAGTCTGAACTGGAAAACTTCAACGCTGGTTTGGCTGACAGCATCGCCCTGAAACCTGCGGGTGTTTTCATCAGGGTGAAATTTCCCCCTGTGCAGAGAACCCTGACCAGGGCTATGCTTCATCTGTGTCCTGACCTAGCCCTAGAGGGAAGTGGAACTTGGTGAGACTGAGGACTTTGGGGAGGCTGAAAACGTTCCTCAGTCTCCCAGTGCAGGGATGAATTCCCTCTGCCATTGCAAGCGTCTGGAGCGAGCCAGGTGGTGCTTCACTTGGAGCATCCTTCTCCTGCTGGCTCGGCTCATTCTCAGCATGGAGGGGGATGGAAAGGCAAAGCAGCTTGCTCTCATTATCTCATCTGCTGCTAGCCCAGCTGCCTCTGCTGCCTTCTGTACCTTTCTGTGGATGGTTCCCCAAACAAGCCTTTTGTGTTCACTTCCCCTAACTGTACACCCCAATGTGGGCAATGACATTGATGGATGGCCTCAAAACAGCCTTCAGCAGAGCATGAGGCCTGCAGTTAGGGAAGCAGAGTAACGTGCAGGCACTGACCTCAGAATTATTTTCCAAGGCGATCAGGGACTAAAGGAAACTGTTTAGGAAACTTAGGAAACCTTACAAGGATCCTCTCTGCAGCTCAGTCTAAATTGCTGTGAAAGTTTGATCCATCCATTTTTTTTACTCACTATGTCACCCTTTCCTGGTTTTTTATCTCTTGATTCCCTCCCCTTCTGCATGACTCATATGCTTTTTCTCCCCTGCCCTCCACACACACACACACAGAGTCCTTCCCACACTTTTCTCATTCTGACAAACTGGACAGCTAAATCACTTGGGAGTTGGGGTTTTCAGATGTTCAGGAGGAAGGGGGACTGAGTTATTTACAGCCTCGGTGGGGGTCGTGTGGGTGAGATGGGTGTCCTCTGGGAGCCTCACATCTCTCTGAGATGCTTTAGGCTGCTTCAGTAGGCACAGACCAACTGAAGCAAAGCAACCAGCCACACCACAGACTTTGCTGATGGGGTGGGGGGAAGGGGAGGTTCCTCAGGTATGTCCTGCTACTGTGCTTTTGTGGAAAGAAATGCAGGACAAAAGATCTCAGTAGTAATTTGTCAAGGAATCACCCCAGTGATTCCATAATTACCAGCCCCTGTAAGGGTGAGAGATAAAGCTGGGGAGACGGAGAGGCTGGCCTCATCTCCTGCGGCTGCAAAAAGGGCAGTAGACATAAAGTAAGCTGAAACACCCAGGCACTGCTCACAGGCGCAGGGCTGACATTCAAGGGGAAGTCAGCAACCTGCCTACAAGTAGCAAAGCCACTGCATGTGGGTTTTTTTTGTTGTTGTTGTTGTTTCTTTTTGTTTGGTTGCATTTAGTTTGTTTGTATGCTCACTGGCTTGCATGTTAGCTTTCCCCTCATACAGATTTGGCTGTTACGAGCTGCTGGATGCCACAGGTTTTCTTCCCCTCTTGACTAGCTTCAGCAATCAATCAGCTTCTTTCAGCTCTTCACAAGGGTTGCTTTGCAGAGCTGGGAAGAGACTGGGTCCTTCCCAGCCTTGGCTTCGTGCTGGCTCCTTGCCCAGTGCTTTCCTCCCAGAGGCTCAGCAGCCTCTCCCCAGGGAATGCAATGCTTGAAAACAGCGGGAGGAGTGATGGGAGAGAGGCTACAGCCTGAGAAAAGTCACAGGACAGACGTAGCACATGAAAACCCAACCAGCCAGGAGGATGGGGGAAAGATTAGGATCGGGGAAGGCAGGTCGCTCTCAGCTGTTGTGGCCATGACAGGAAAGAAGGATATGGGCTCTGAGATGACTGCCCTTGTCCCCTTTTCCTTCTGTCTGTCTTGGCTAGTTCCTTCCCTTTTTTTCCCCACTCATATTTATAGCAGTTGTTTTGCATGTGAGTTCCACACGAAGATAATTTCCAAGGCAGCTGGTGCCACTTCCCCTTTTTCCAGGAAGACAGGAGGCCCAGGGGATTTTGGCTTATGAAACAGTGGAGCAGGACATCCAGTGACCTGATGTGGCTTCCTGGGGAAGCTTTGTCTTGCAGTGTTTAGGTACAGCACTGACCCTGTCTGCAAGTTCTGCAGTGACCTCCCAGGAGCTCCAGTGCTCTCAGCCTTGTGTGAGCCCCATTTTTTTCCTGGGGCTCACCATCTGCTTTGCCTCTCTAGAACTGCAGACTCCTCTTTCTCCTTGCTGAAGAGACTGTGCTTCACCTGGATTATATTTAACAGCAGTGCTGTCACCCTTATTATTCTAGTCTTTTATGAATAATTTTGTGGTCAGCTTGGTTCTTCTGGTATCTGTTTAACTTCCTGTACATTGCAAGGAAGCCTACTTGTATTTCTGCACTGTCTGTAGTCCACAGAACAACAGCCTCCCACAGATGCTCCTTCTTCAGCAAGGCTTTCATCACCCCAGATCCTGCCCTCAGACTTGTAAAACCTCCATTCTCTCTCTTAAGCCATTTCTGACCAGCTGTGGTGGATCAATCCATGAAGCCATGGCTCTTCATGGGAGGTTTGGATGCACATGAAGTATTTAGGTCACAGCTTTTCAGTACATAAAGAGGACTGACATAAAAACCACCGAACAGCATTTGGTAAGACCTCTTCATTGTCCTTATGGCGAGCAAAATCAGTTGAGTTGGCAGGGTGGGCTGCTGCTGGGTTAAATCAGAGGACTACCAGCACAGCGGCTGGCTGCTAGGAGGGATATATGGGGTCTGTGCTGCTCGCTCTGGACTGAGAACCACTTGCAGGACAAAGCTGAGGTGCAGTGGCTGCAACAGCAGAAACACAGAAACCAGAGTTGCTGTGGCAGGAGAGAGGACAGGCGCTTAGAGATTGAGGCAGGTTTTCCTGTGATATGTTGGCCCCAGTACTATACTCACAGGGATCTTTGTTCTTCCAGAGTCAACTGACTTGAGTGAGGCTGAAGAGGCTGAAATACAGACAGTCAGGCAGCACAGACAGAAGCTTTTGGAAGACATTAAGGTAAGGAGCATCCTGTTTCTCCTGTATGCCTAGTTTTCTGAAAACTGTCTTCACCAATTAGTGTCTTCACATAACAGTTCAGGCCATGCAGAAGTGCTCATGCACGGGAGACATTTGCTCTGGAATGATCCAACCTGAATTCTGAACTTCAGGCTCCCTTGGCATATTTGCCACCAGTGTACGTCCAGCCTGTGGTACTCTCTGCTGCAGGAGTCATCAACAACCCTAGTGGGATATTTGAGAAAGGCTGGTCAGATCATGAGCAGGGATGAGCTGGGATTGCATATTTAGGATTAAGGAAATGAGTATGACTTTACTAAGTCATACTGACAGGGACCTGGCTCAGCATTTATGATTATTTTTAATTACTGATCACCTGCTAATGACATATCAGTCCTAGTTACCTGCTGCATCCCCCTGTGTTTATCAAACTTTTGTTTGTGTACCTCTAACAAATTGTCCGTGAAGGATCCTATCTCTTTAGAGAGGTGTGATGGCAGGACCTTCCGGGCAAGTTTCTGTGGTTGAACTTGCTTTTCTGCTTTTCTTTCAGCAGACCCACACATTTCTCTGCAGACTCCTAAAATGTCTGAAAGTGACAGATTCAAAATCAGTCAGTAATATTGCATCGCAGTCATGCACAATGCTGTACACTTTGTATTCTGTTCTGCTTCCACCACCATGGAATGTGGTCTCCCATTTGAGAGAACTTATTGCACTGAATCATTGGACTTGCACTGATTTTCCCAGAACAGGAAGATGTCCTGATACCTGGGGAATAGGTGCAATATTTCCTTGGCATAAAGGACTACGCCAAAATACCTATTACTTCTTAGGCTTCCAGACTCACCATTTCTGCTGCAAATCAGAATGGGGTCTTGTGCCTTCTTGCAAAACAGACTATGGATGTAAGTGCATGTGGTTTGTTTGTGTGTGGTTCTTATCACTTCAATTTTCAGAATAGGCAATGGGCAGTGTAGGAAGCAGGATACTTGAATAATACTATGGGGTTTACCCACTATGGACAGAGAAAAGCTGCTACACAGACCCATACTCTAAATCCCAAAGCCATTAACCAATGGGGTATGCATTGTCCAATGGAGCAGGATGAGTTTAGGTGAAAGAGTACCTAGAACTAGAGACATTTTTCCAGATGGATTTCTTCAGAAAGTATCTAGCAATACCCTTTAACACAAAGACTTGGGGGGATGTCTGATGGGGGGAGATGGAGGAGGGGTGAGGATGGGTCTAGACTTGCTGGTTACACTGCCAAAAGGCAGCAGGGAATAAAATAACAAAACTTACAATCATTTTAAATTCAGGAGCTAGGATCACAGCTTTGTTGTTACATTTGTGCAATACCTAAAGTTTAATAAGGAACACTCCCAGCTCTGGAGACTGGTGAAGAACAACAGAATGAAGGCCAGAGCAAAACTGAAATCCAGAAGCTCTTTTAAATTATGTGATATTGGAGAACTTCAGTTTCTTTATGTGGGTGCATACTGCAGCCACATCCTCACTCCTTGTTGAGGCAAGATCTGTCATAAAACAACCCTTCTTTGCCTGCCTGTTGTGGTTGGAATGGGGAAGAATTTGGGTGATTCCTGGAAGAGAGCTGGGATGCACTCTGGCTCTGAGGAGGACCATAACTGTAGGATGGAAGCAAGGAGATAAAGACATCTTCGTTTCACTGGTAACACAGAATACCCAGCCAAAAAGGCCATGGTCTGTAATGGGCCTAAAGGAAACTGAATTCTACAATTGATTTTTTAAAATTTGGCAGTGATTACTCTTCTTTTACTCCTTTCTCCACCTAAAGAAAGACAGGTATCTACTCAATGGCATTTAAATGATAGTTATGTTAAAAACTCTGTGTTTCACAATGTGGCCACTTCAGGTTCCTATTGACCTCACAGTTACTGGTTCCACTTCCCCTTTCCTGGATGTGTAGCAGGGCTATGCAAAGTAAAAGCTAGAAGGAAATGGGCACAATGGAAGGAGTCTCACATCTGACATTGTTTGAGGAACTGAAATCACCACTGGTGTGAGTTCTCTGCCATTCTCCACGCTGGCTAAGCTTGACTTTCCAGCTTTAATTGACAACAGACATGAGAACATTCTTCTGTCCCTCTCTCCCATTTTTTTCATCTGGAATCCAGCAGTGTCACCCCAGAGCAGTGCTCGTTTCATAGATATCCTTGGCTGGTCATGACCATCTGACCTGTCCTTTTCCTATGATTGACGGAAAAAGTAAGACATGTTTTGTATGCATCTGCTGTTTTTCACTCCATTGCCTTCATCCTCCTGATATTTCTTTTGCAGAAGCTGAAGAAAGAGATTGCTGAGGTGTTTGCAGAGATTGAGTGCTTCCAAAATGCAGAGGAGAGGCAAGAGGCAGACAGTAATCCTGGGGAGCAGACCAGGCAAGTGGGACAAGATGGGTATTCCTTTGTTTACAAAATCTCTCTCTTGATGTTGAGAAAACAAAAACACTCATGGGACAAGGACAAGGAAATGAGGCCATGAATCCCTTTCTCTCCTCTGAGATTTCTCTTTATTCCTGGATGGTTGGACACTTGTCCTTGAGATATCTGATTCACTTGTGAGTGAATTGAAACATGGCCCTTTATTCTAAGTTTGGCTTTCCTTCTTCTTTGTGTTTGCAGCAAACTATCACAGAGGGATAAACTTCTGTCCCTGGGTCGGAAGAAATTCAACATGGACCCTGCAAAGGTAGGATTTGCTCATTCCACCTATGAGGAGAAAGCTGGGAGGAAGAACTTCTGTTGGCTACTGGTCAACTTGCCAAAAGAACTATGGCATGGGACTGCGGGGCTGGTTTCCTGCCTCATTAAGGCTCCAATTAGTAGCATCCTCAGTCCTGTCCCTGAATAAGGTCTTCTGATACGATCAAGCTGTGTTGCCTTGCCTCATCATGTGCCTACAGGCCATCCCATCAGATGCAACCCAAAACTAAGAGAAATAAAGGGAGGATAGTTTAACAGTGCCAGTGTGTCAAGAGAGAAAAATCTTCAGTCCAGTTCTTCTTCCCCATGAGAGGCTAAGAGTTGGCCATAGTGTGATGGAGGAGGATAAAGTAAGAAGGTGAGAAGTTTTGAGAGTGTGTCAGGTTCCTTGGTTCATTCACAACAGAAAAGGACAAGATGCCTCTGTTGTTTTGGAAGTAGGTTTGATTTTGGTAGTACTTGCTGGGCTGTGGAGGGAATCCAGGTTTTCCACTTTCTGGGACTCTGACAAGTGTGGTCCAGACTCCACAGCCTTCAGCCTTCTGCAGAAATCTCTAAAATAGTCATGATTAAATAGAAGAGGTGTAAGAAAGATAGTTTCCTCTTCGTTTCTCCTCACTGGTAGACCATTTTTTGACCCCTGTAAGGAAAACCACAAGCTGCTATTGAACTGCTCATCATCAGCTAACCACCACAGCATCTCGGGTGGCTGCTGGTCTGAGTGACAACTTTTCATACCTCCTCCTCTGCTCTGCTGAGACCCTCAAGATGCCTTCCCCAGTATCCACACCACTGCTGGAGCACTTGCTAGTCCCCTGGACATCCCTCTGCCAGTGGGAGCTGTCTCAGAGCAGTGATATCAGTACTTCCAGCCTGCGCAAGAGGAGGTTTCATTTTGTCTTTCTGTCTGACCTTGGTTTGATGCCTCAGAGACATCTCTCTCTGTAGGACTGTGCCATGCTGTGCAGAAATACCTGAACTTGTTCTGACCCCAAACCAGTTTATCTTTATTATTTCAATGGCGATCAGCCTGGTCAAAATATATTATATGCCTATATTATGCAGATTTCTGTTTATTGCTTCCCTTTTGCTACGTGCCACAGGCTGAGAGGTGCTGCAATGCAAGGAAACTTCTTTGCCCCTCCTTGCTAAGGTTATGCTTCATCCATGCAATGCTGATACTTTAAATGAGTTCCTATCCCCAAGATCTCAGGACAAGTTCCTGAGGCTAGAGGAGGTAAGTGTTAGGAATCTGGCTTAACAAAAACTTCTGGGAGAAACATTTTCTTCTGGAAAACGGAGCCCCATCATCATCAAAATGCTTTGCAAAATTAAACTGATCTTACCAAAATTCCATCTGGGGAAAAGGAAAGGAAAATAGTGTGGAAAAATCTCACAAACATTTCAATTTCTTCTTTTGAAACTGCTTTTACTTTGGGGCATTTTAGAAATAGTTTCTTATATATTACAAGGTAAAGTGAATTGATTCTGTTGAAGTTGAACATTTTGATGGATCTAAAACAATTTTCATTCCTTTATTGTATTTTGTGAGGAGAATTGCAATGTGGTCTGGAGAGTTGCAGTGGCTTTAGATTTTGTTAGGCATCTGAACTAAACCTCAACATTCTGTCACTGAAAATCATGAAATTCCCTCTAAAATAGGATGTTGACTCTGCACAGCCCAACTCAGACCCTCTATATTCCTAAAAATACCCATATTCCAGCCTTACTGGCTGGGGAGGATGGAGCTGAAAAGATTAGACTTCTCTGTTCTGTGACATAGAAGAAAATTTAGGAAAAATTAATTTTAAGTTGTCTCAAGCCCATGTTTTTATCTGAGTACATTTTTATTATGTGTTTTTTTAAACAAATATTTTTTTATTTAAGTTAATTCAGAAAAAAAATGACATTTAGGAACAGAACACTAAGAAACTTGGATTGAAAATATTAAAATTAACTATTTTGACTTTGCCTTTTTGGACTTTTAACCTACATTGCCCTTTTTCGTTTGTTGGAGTTTCCATCCCAGTGAAATATTTATCCAAATCTAAGGACGAAATGGAAGTGGGACTGACCCACCACAGTGTATGAAGAGGGATGGAATAAGGGTGGGAACATGGCTGTGGTCTCCCATAAAGGGGCTGCGAAGTAACAGTGGAGGCAACATCATCAAAGCCAAGGCAGGCTGATATCAAGGTGTTGGGCTCCTACTTTCTCATCAGCCCACAGAGCTGTCTTACTTCACTGTCTTGCTTCTCCTCCCCCAGGGGATCCAGTACCTGATTGAGCATGAGGTATTGTCCTCAGACCTGCAGGAGATCGCCAAATTCCTCCACAAGGGTGAAGGCCTGAACAAGACAGCCATTGGGGATTACCTGGGTGGGAGGTAAGCAACCCAGCCAAGATGAAGAGGCCCTTTGGAGGCCTTGTCCTACCTGGCCCCTCTCAACTACCATTTTAGATGACCCCTAGCAGACCTCAGTCAGGTGCCAAGACTGAACATACCTCAAACTGCAGTGGGCTGGGTGGGCAGCACACCCTGGGTGAGGGACTTTGGCGTGTGGCTAAGGCTGGCTGTATGGGCTACCTTTCCTTCTGACTGTAATGGGGTGAGTGTTCCCAGACAAAAGTGTGCAACATAGTTTCTCATTGGTCAGAAGGGAAGTGGAAGCTGGGATGGAGCCAGGTGCATGTTGTCACACCAAGGGGTATCCAAACTGAGCAGGGTCAAAGCTCTCTTCTGACCTTTTCCCTCTATCATCTCCCAGGGATGCCACAAACATTCAGATCCTCCAAGCCTTTGTGGAATGTCACCAGTTTGCCAACCTCAACCTGGTGCAGGCACTGAGGTGAGTGAGCAAGCAGGATGCAGGGGATGGAGCAGGAGGCTGCTCAGCCACGGGGTCTTACCACCCAGGAAGGTTGTGAGGCTGTAGTGGGCTGAAGTGCGGCTTCCAAGGCCCTGCTGTGTATGTTGGCTCCAAGACTGTTGCTCTGTGAGATGTTAACACCCTTTCCTGGGGGAATTCATTCATGGCCTCTTGACTGTACTGGCCATATGCAGAGAAGATGGAGAAAGCAAGGTGGGTCATCATGGCTTCAGTGCTTGGGGGGACGAGGCAAGTGTCAGAAACATGTCTGTCCACAGTACCCGTTATGTCAGTGACAAAGTGACTCTGTCTTAGGACATCTTGTCTTCTTATAGGCCAGCCTCCTGGCAGGAATCTTTCTCTTGAGGTCTCTGCTGCCTTGCAGGGCACTCATTAGGGAAGAGGAGCCATGATTACCAGGATGCCTAGTTCTGCTTCCTCCTTTTAGTGTGTTTGACACTGATGAGCCCCGGCAATTTCTAGAGAGAGGAGGAGACCTCCTGCTTCATGCAGTGTGTTGTCTCCCCAGTGTGATGGGATGACTTGTTTTATTTTCTTGGTGTCCCATGGGTTGAGGGAAGGGATAAATGTCCCTTCCACACAATCTGACTAACTCTCTGACATGCTGCTCCTGATAGACAGTTCCTGTGGAGCTTCCGGCTGCCTGGGGAAGCACAGAAGATTGACCGGATGATGGAGGCCTTTGCCAACTGGTACTGCAAGTGTAACCCAGGAGTATTCCAGTCCACAGGTAGTTATGGAGAGAAGGTGGCCTGTAAAGCTGAGCTCCACTGTTTGCAAGAGAGAGGAGCCTTCCTTTTGCATTCACAAAGCCTTCCTCTTCCATTCACAAAGTGAGGGCATCACTTGGAAATGTGGATGTTTCCCCTTAAGCTGAAGGAGGCAGCCCAGTTTCTGTGGAGCTTTTCAATAGGCTGAGGGTCTTCGGTCCTCCTTTTGCTACTGTGCTGCAGTCCATCCGCATAGGCAATAGACTTGAGAAGTGCTCCCAGCCCCACATGAGGTATACCTCACTGCAGCAAGGATAGCACTGACACAGGTCTGTAGAAGCTTTTCTGCTGGTAGAACCATTATTGGAGTAGTGCTACCCAACTTGTCCCGTTACCCTGACGGGATGGAATCATCTCTATCATAGGTAATCAGCTTTGTCCCTCTTACTCCTAGCAGAGGGGACATCTCCCTTTTCCTCCTACAGCTGAGAGAATGACACTGTTCTCCAGTGACTGGAAACCAAGCCACCTGTTAGAGTGCGGATTGATCTGCCCTCTGAGACAAGTGCCATACATCTTGGTTTTCTTTCTCATTGCCAGATACCTGCTATATACTCTCCTTCTCTATCATCATGCTTAACACCAGCCTGCACAACCCCAATGTGAAAGACAAGCCCCCCTTTGAAAGGTTTGTGTCCATCAACAGAGGCATCGACAATGGAGGGGACCTGCCAGAAGAGCTCTTAAAGGTAAGACCTCCCATTTTCTCATCAGTCCCTCTTTTCTGTCTGGTTGGGGGGTCCACTGAGAAGCAAAGGTCCACAGGTCTCAGTGTAATGCAGGTCTGCTGACCTTCTGTTGTACAAGGGGAAGGGCTGCATGAGGAAAGAGGGTAGTATGTACAAAAGCAAAGCTGGAAAACATGGAAACTGCTTTGTAGAGGGGCTGCACACATGCTTGTTGGTGAGGACATGGAGCAAGAGATGGGGCTGGAGACATTCAGGGAATAGCAGTATCAGTTTAAGAAAGTTTGTGCTTTTAAGTGTGCCCATGTGAGACAGGAACAGATACTGTAACTGTGTGAGAGAGGAAGACGTGAGCTGCGGGTGTCTATGTGTTGGGTAGGTATGAGGCTGTGTGAATGGGGCACCCACTTCTGTGGGAGGTAGCTGGGCACCTGACTCTTTTGGCCAGTTTTGAAAGTCCTAGGCCCCAAAGGTGACTTTCTTGTGTGTCTCTGTGTGTGTGAGACAATGTCACTGTGGCCCAGATTATGAATCCCTTTCCCTGGTTTGTACCTAAATGTCTCAGCTGACTCCGGTGTTTACATCAGATAGGACACCAGTGCCTGACCTTTCTTACACCAGGTTATATCTTTGAGTAGAACCAACAAGCCCCAAATGAGTGTCAGGGTTTCTTCCAATATCTCTTCTGGCATCTGTAAAGCTCTCAGCATGTCCATGGTCCTCTGATCCCAGAGGATGAAGATGCAGAGATGGGGAGACAGAGACAGGGGGTGCACCCATTAGCAAAGCTGGAGTTACTGTTTACCCAAGGGCTCAGCAGGCATGGGATCTGCCCTATGAGAAAAGTTAGAAGTGGGCAGCCTAGCTACATGTGTCTAGCTTCACCCAACCAACCTGGCGAGAATAACTTGTGTCCTTTGTCAAAGAGGCTGCTTACATTCCACACTTGGAATCCCCTCAGGGTAAAAAATTTAGATTTTTCTGTGGAGTGTTATTTCTTTCAGACAATTTGAGGGAAGCTGCAGGAGCCTGTACTTTCAAATTTTTTTTTATGGCCTGGGACTTGTGTAATAAATGATGGCAAATCCAATGATGCAAGCAACATTTTTGTACCCCTTGAAAGCTAGTAACGTGCCTCCCTGTCACTCTGCTGTTAGGAATGTCACACTGTGTGTCGCTCAGTGCAAATGCCTTGGTTCTATGAAATATGCCTCCTTGTGGTCATGCAGATGTGTGCATTGGTCTCCACACGCAAGTTCTCAGCAGAGCGTTTTGGCACCACCAACCCAGGACCTAAATGGGGCTGCAGTCTCTGTCGTGTCATGTCCCCACCACTGCCTTAGTACTGCCTTGGTGCTGCACACAGCGGCACTTGTGTGACACGCTGGGGTCAGTCACTGCGGCCTCTCTTGATATGGGTGCCCACTTTTGTGTCTGTGACTTTCCAAAGTCGAGCCCAAAAGGGCTCTCTTTTTTTGATGCAGAAAGCAGAAAAGAGCTGGTGATCCCCCTTGAGACCCTGTGAGGTGTATACTGAGGGCTGTTGTACCCCCAGTGCTCACTGCTCGTTCCCCTCGCCATTCACCCACCTGCCCCTGTGGAAACAGAGTGATGAACAAATCGACTTAGGAGGGTTGTGTACAAGCTTCGTCAGAAATCTGTCTTTCTTTCTCTTTTTCCCTCTCACTTTCCCCCACCAATGCTCTTGGGCAGAATCTGTTTGAGAGCATCAAGAACGAGCCATTCTCCATACCAGAGGATGATGGGAACGACCTCACACATACTTTCTTCAACCCTAACCGGGAGGGCTGGCTCCTAAAACTAGGTAAGGGGGAGGAAGCCCCTAGCTCCTCTGAATTCTGTGCCTGCCTGCCTCCCACCACAAATCTCCCCCAGCACCTCTGCTGCCCTTCCCTCTGGTCTGCTGTGGTGGCGTGAGGCTGACACCTGCTGTTGAAACCAGCCACCTGCTCTCTCCTCCCAGTCAGCTCCTGCAGGCTCTATCTGCTCAAAAAGGGACTTAGAAAGATATCCCTCACCTCTCCCCATTTCCAGCCCCATCAGATCAAAATTGGTTCCGTCTGTGTGTGCGTGTCCACTATATGGCATTACATGAGCAGTGAGCACCATGGTTTCCTCCTTGGGGCTGATCTACAGGGAGAGCTGGGAGGGTATGCCTGTGTGTGCATGTCTGGAGCTTGGGGCGGGGGGGCAGAAAGGATGGCAGAGTGTGTGACTAATGGCTTTTGAACCTCACTGACTTTAGGAGGACGTGTGAAAACCTGGAAACGCCGCTGGTTCATTCTGACCGATAACTGCCTGTACTACTTTGAATATACCACGGTAAAGGCTTAACTCCCAGTTGGGAAACTATGTCCTGGGTGGTTATGAATGACTAAGGGGCCAGGGAGGAGTAAAGGGTAGGGGGCTTCAACCCTTCAACACTATGCTCCCAGACTGAACGCAGACCTCCCTTCTCCCCTATGCTGTTTCCTCCCCTCTGGCCTTGAGGAGGAGGGAGGCTGGACACTGCAGCTATTCCTGTGATCTCCGGTTAACTAAGATCCCCATTGTGTAAATGGAGGGGGTATCCCCAGGCATACACTGCCCTTGTCGTCCCCACAAAGGCACACATCTGGGAAAACAGAGAGGCTGTAAATAGTGGCATGGATATGGGGAGCATGTTGGGTGTTAATTCATGTTTCCTTGCCTTCAGGACAAAGAGCCTCTGGGCATTATCCCCCTAGAGAACCTCTCAGTCCGGAAGGTGGATGATCCCAAAAAGCCAGTAAGTCTCCATTGCTCAGTACTCTGCCAATGCAGGCTCTCAGGTGGTGGGAAGAGAGGGTGCACATACCCCATTCTTACCGTGCTGCTCAGAGGGAAGGTGCCATGCCAAACTGTCTTGTCCACTCGTCTAAATGTGATGGTATCTAAACATGCTTGTATTTTACCAGGGAAGATCTGGTGTGAATGGAGACGTGTCCTTTGGCTGGCTGCACTGTATGTGTGCACGTGTGTGTGTGTAGGGGGGCAGAGATGAGTGCATACAGCTGACTCCCTACTCATTTTGCACCAGGAGATGTAGGTTCAATTTCTTTCCCCAGGTCTCTCCATAATGTCTTACAGCACATGTAGACCAGACAGTGCTGTGGTGTTAGGAAACTTGCCCAGGAAGTGACACTCTTTGTGCATCTTCTATGGATGTGGAGACCACTCTTTGATGTGGCATCACTCTGGGACAAGTGCCTTCTGTCTGTGTGATGGTAGACAGAAGATAAGACGTTGCTGTTAAAAGGGGAAGAGATCTTCATGAGCGGAGCAGAGTGACAGATCCCAGAAGGTGTTTTCTGGTAACTGTTGATGCTCCATCTCTCCATAAAGCCTCTTTTAGTGTCCAACCCTTCACAGGAGAGGTGTGTTTACCTAAGAGGAGTTACCTGGAGATCGAACTCATAGGGGGATGCTTGGGGTGGGGAAGGAAAGGGTCTGCACCTTTCAGAGATAGAATGCTCTCCTCCCCTTTGGAAGCTCTCTGAGTGTGTCACCCATGGTTGAAGGCAGCATAGTTTCCTTCATCCACCCTGTCCTCCCTTACTGCTCCATTTTTTCCCTTTCTGACAGAACTGCTTTGAGCTCTTCAATCCCAACTGCAAAGGGCAGAAGATCAAAGCCTGCAAAACAGATGGGGATGGGAAGGTGGTTGAAGGCAAGCATCAGTCCTACAAGATCTCAGCAGCCACACCAGCAGAACGTGACGAGTGGATTGAGGCAATACGGTGAGGAGACCAGAACTGGAGGCCTGAGCTTGCCTTTGTTCAGCCCCAGGGACAAATGGCAGTGCAGTTTGTTTGGCTACCAGAGTTTGAAAAAGGGGGTGGAACAAAATGTTTGCAGTCTAGCAACTGTAGTACCTCTTGACTTCAAAGAGTTTCAAGGTCCCTTCTGGAGAATCTCTAGCCACAGCTAAATTCTCTGCTGTGGGTCTGCAGATCTCCAGTCTTACATTTGGTGAGTGGTCTCTCTGGGCAAGTTCAGTTAGGTTGCCTGTGCTGCTCACCAGCATTCTCTTAATTTTGCTCTCATTTCCTCTTATTTCCAGGACCAGCATCACACAGGATCCTTTCTATGATCTGGTCTCTGCCCGTAAGAAAAAGATTGCCAGCAAAAACTGATCCCTGACCTGGTCACCAGCAGCAGGAAGATGTAGCTGTTGGACAGCTTCTCTCCCATGCCGGGCTCTTCCAGTGAAGAAATTTGGGAGCATTGCGTCCCTCTGCCTCTCACTTGGCAGGAAGATGACTAACAGGACAACTTGCCAGATTTGCTTCTTTCCTTTCCAAACTGAAGGCAGAGGCACAGGGTGCAATCCACTGAGGACTGTCAGAACCGTGGACGTAGCATTTTCCATGTCCAAATGTGGAGGCTCAACAGCAGCTAGCCTTTAGGTTCTCCCAGATAGCCCTAGGCATGCAGGACAGGATCTGAAGGGAGACAAGAATGTCTCCAGAACATCTCCAGCCCCTCCTGCCATCAAACCAGGTCTGGCTGTTTTTCTGTGAGGAAACATGTAGATGCTCTTGAAGCACCAAATCATGGTCCTGTCAGTTGCAGAGCAGAAAAGCCCCAGTGGTTTCTCTTCCACGAACAGATGTGTAGTGGTTGTGGAGAAGGGGCCACTGATGTTTAAGAACCTCGCTGCGAAACCAGAGGCCAAGGGAAGATAAGAAGCCCTCTTATCTATTCAGAAGAGAGCCCCCTCCACCTCTCGGTATAACCGTGAGAGATGTAACCCTGGGAAGTCCCTGCTCTGTAGTCAAGTCATAGGTTTTAGAAAGTTAAGGATGTTGGATGGGGCGATAAGAGGTAACTGACTGTAGAGAGGCTGTGGGATCAGGGAAGCAGCTCTGGGTCTTTTGTCTCTCTGTTTTGAGACTCGGGGACCACCACAAGTCTCCCTAGGGAAGAAATCCAAACACTAGCTCTTCTCCTGGCTGATGGCACCCCAACAAAGGTTGCTTCCTTGTACCACCCCAGAGGCCTGGGCTTTGTATCTGAAAGGCCTGCAGCCAGAAGGTATGAAAAATTGGAGGTGCATACACAGCATACACACAGAGGCTTTCCCATCTTTACATATTGGTTTCATCTAGAGTCGGGGTTTTTGTCTCTTGTGTGAAGAAAGAAATAAAAGTGCTTGAAACAAGCTCAAAACTCAGGGTAACATGATCGTTTTAATGATAAAGGCAGAGGATGTGAGATAAAAGTGTCGTGTTCCTATGCCTAGCACAGCGGTCTGAGCACCACCGCAGCTCTGCAGTGCACCCAAAATGCAGGCAGGCTGAGCGTGGCACAAGCAGGCAGCTGTCGGGCAGCGTGGGAGGAAGGAGTAGTTAATGGGACAAGAGGAAAGGTGCAGGGAGCCGTGACACTGCAAACTGGGAACAGCATGGAAGCAAATACTAGAGACTTGCTAGAGACAATTACACCTGCAGAGTTAAAGGATGTGATAAATTATTGCTTTTTCATCTGTTACCTTTCGGGTCTCTTCTTGTAAACATTGGTGCTGTCTGTCTCTTGCCGTTTTTCTTCCTGCAGAGGGCTCTATCTACCAGGTAATCTGCAGCAGGGCCAGCACGGCCGATTATTCATTCCAGTTATTTTTGCCCAAGCCACAGGAATGTTGAATTAATTTCAAGAGGCAGGGAGTGTATCTTGGAGTTGAAGCACGCGCTCACCCCAGAGAAGGAACCAGTGAAGGTTTTCTTCTGCTCGCGCCTGCAAATGTCTCCAGCGTTGAATCTCTCTGTCACTGATGTGATACGGAGTGAGTTTTCTGCCCACTGCTCTAGAGCACATGTGCTCACACACACATTCACTCTAGCTTTGGGTTCAATGCAAGGAGGCAGGGTCAAGTCCAGAGGTGGGAGGAGAAGTCAAAATATGGCCCTTTATCTTGGCAATGTCACCAATATATGTAAAAGAAATATAAATGTGCATTTGGTTGGTGAAAGATGCCCCAGAGCTTAGGATTTGGATAAGAAATGCCTGTTCTAGTGCCTCTCAGGCTCATGCTCTGTGTGACAAAAGCCATCAAAATGTAGCCTGGAGTCCCTTACCCACAAAATAGGTGAGGGAATCCAGGCTAAGCCTTCCCTAGAGTTTACCTGGATCGTTCCTATGACAGCAGGGTCTATCCAAGCTCTTCCTAGTCCCTCCTCATCCCAAATCCTTGTAGGATTTACCTTCAGGCTGCCTATGTCCTTTCCCTTCCTTCTTCCCCCAGATACCCATGGACTGCAGAGCAGAATTACTCCTAGCAGGGACAGGCTGGGAAGGACATCTTGTGAGAGGCAAAACAATGCACAGAATCAGGCAATTGTGTAATTTCCATCCACCAAACTAACCACAAGAGTCAGAGGGAGATGGACCAGGTTTCTTCTCTCCTAGGTAGGGAGAGAAACAGTAAGTTTAAATTTCTATTGCTTTTCCTTGGCTCCAGCACAGAAAATTCATTTCCAAACTCCTTGCTATACCACGCCCCAATCTCCTCAGTGCCATGAACACAATGATACCTGATGTTGTCCACCAGCAGTGTGACATGGGCACCCTCTGAGTGGTACCCCTGACCTCATGCCTGCTGAATGCCAATGTGTTTGGTATTGGCTAGGGTGTCTCAGGACAGGTCTGTAAAACTTGACCATCCCCTCATATCCATGTGCTTTGACAGCCGTGCTTGGAGCCCTTGCAAATTTCTGATGGGAATGACTTGTGCAACTAGAATGGCACCGCCATGGAATGTGTTGCTGGCCACCATCGCACTTTCCCTTTGCTGAGGGCACCTGCAGAACCACACACATGAATGCATACACACAGACACACAGACGCACAGATTACCCTTAGTAATTTAGTAATTTAGTACCCTTCAGGTACTAAATCTGACAGATTTGCTATCTGCTAGATGTGTTCCTCTTTCTCATCATAGGCAGCGTATGTGGCTCACACAGACATACACACAGAAGACTGACATGTATTTCCTGCCTGCCTAAGGACTCCTGTGCACACCTAGTAATTAATTTTCATAATAAATATCCATCTATTTTAATAAAAGGGCTGGGAGGAGCATACTGCAAATATGTAGAATAAACTGCATCCTGCCTCCTCCCCTCATCTTCGCGTCCTCCTGTCCCCTGTTTATCAGCTCCCTTTTGGAAGGCTAATACATTTTAAAAAGGCTTTCTAGAAATTGTTTGCAGTGACAGAGATGGAGCAGCTGTGAGGAGAGCCAGCAGTCTCGTTCAGTACAGCTTAGGTATCTAGCAAAGGGTAGAGAAAAACTCCGGGAGGTGGATGGGGAGGGCAGTGTACGAATGGAGACAGACTGGACTGAATTATGGATTCAGAGCCAATCAAAGGGCATGAGTTGAACCTTTTTCCAGGGGGTGAATGCCCTTGGTGATGGGAGCTCATGAGCAAATAGAGGCCTGTGTAAAGACAAGAGTCTGCAAGCCAGGAGAGGTGCTCAGTGGTGGGGTGGGAGCACCCATTTGAGATAGGGTCCATTCCCGGCAGGCCTGAAACTGCTCAGCTGTGTATCACACACCCTTCAGCGCAAAGGGAAAACCAAGCAGCTCTTTTCCGCTAGCTAAACAGGGTTTTCTGGATTGGGACTGCCAGCCTTTCAACTCCCTCTGTGGTACACCGTGTGAGCTCCCACACCTGACCCCTCCACAGCAGTGCAGGGATTGCCACCAAGAGGGGTCAAGTTTGCCAGCTTGTCCCTTAAACCTGGAGGAACAGAAGGCTATAACAAGGGCCTCAGAGGGATGGGAGCCAGTCTTCGTACCCTCTGGGATCAGTCACTTGTAAGGAAAGGAGCACAGCCTCGCTGCATTGGAGCTCGTTTGAATGGTACAGTCAGATTTGTGGGGCCAACGGGAGCAGTTCTTCCTGTCTCCCATCCCTTACATTTGATGGCTGGAAAGCAACTTGCTACCTGAGGGTGGGGGACTCCTTGCTGTACTTCCTCTCTCTTAAAACTTTCTTTGAAAATGTGATTCATACAGAAAGTCCAGAGCACAAAGCTAAAGGGCAGGATGGCTCTCAAAGGCACCATGGCCTCTCTGCTCACTTCTCCTTTTTACAGGAGAGCCAGTCTGGGGGGCTAGAGGAAGCCCAGGCAGACCGGGGTTGAGACTTGACCAGGGTTTCTTGGAGTTTCATTGCTATCACGTCTGCAGCGGCTCTGCTCTAAGTGCCTGCGACAGGGGCGTGCAGCAATCTCATCTCGCCACGCCATTTCCAATCCTGCTGCCGCCCTGCGATGAAGATGAATGTGGCTTGTCCCGGGTTATCACAATCCTCTGCGTGTGAGCCTGTATACAGACATCAGTTTGCTCCCAAAGGCTGATGCTATTGGGCTAACTGCAAGGAGGCTGTGTATGGTGGGACAGTGGGGACAAGGAAAGAGTCAGGGAAGGTGGAGGACTTTGGGTCTTGTGTGGGTAGTTGATGAAGAAGGGCTTGCAGTGACAAGAACATGGCTTTCACCTCAGCTCCAGAGCAGCTGCAGCCGGAATGTCAGGAACAAGGTATGACATCCCCTGAACAGCCTGCAATCTTTGCCGCAGCCACTGTGTCACATCACCAAGGGGCACTCCGTATCTCTGCAGCTCTCCTCTTTCTGTGGGGCTGAAGAGTAGTGTCACTAGACCTGCCAGCACAACACTTCAGGCAGAGAGAGGAGACGGTGCAAGGTGGCCATCACATCTGGGCCCTCAAGGGCACAGCATGTGCAGGGAGAGGACCACGTGCCCTGCTAGCACAGAATGTCTTTGCTCCTCTACCTTGCTGAATAAGTGGGGTTACATGTCCCTTTCTGCACGTGAGTAAAACCACAGGTATAGACGTGTGTGTGTGTGTGCTGTGTCCTGCACACTTGTAGTCACCCAAGCACATCTGCATGTACACAGGTACACAGACAGTCCACATGCATCGCAGCCAAATGCCTTTCCTTGCCCTCTCCTTGCGGAAGGGCTCTGGCAAAACAGTCTGTAAGGGAAGATCAGAGATCACAGAGGAGCAGCGAAGGGCTGCCCGTCTGGGGTCGGACGGCAAGCAGCATGTGGGGAGAGGGAGGCAGGACAGACTGCAGTGAGGTCTACAGGGACCACAGGACTCCTGCCCTATGGGAAGTGGGGACTAGTGGGAACACAGCCCTTCACCCAGGACAGAATTTGGGGAAGGACTGTTTGTGGTGTCTGTGTTAAGGGACATTACAAGGTGAGGCATTTAACAGTCCCCTCTTCCTTCTGAGGTACTAGGCTGACCTTAAGGCACCTACTGAAAAGACGTTTTCTGCTGCCTCTTTAACTATGGTGGGTGGCAACAAGGTTCCTGGGGTTGGCTGAAGAGGTGGTGATTTGTGCAATTAGTGTCTAATCAGTTCTATGAATATTTATTACTAGTCAGCAA